TAGGTGAGGGCGGAGGGGATCGGAAAGTCTCCTGAAGCCTCGCTAGCCCTTATCACTAAAAGAGTATCAGTGCGGCCGATGCTGTCTGTGTCGTGGTGCGCGTCGTTTGTTGGGTTTGCAGAGTCTATTGTGTTTGAATACAAGATTATTTAGCCAGAAATTTATAGTATTAGACTCTTGACATCCGCGGCCCTCACCAAGAAAATTGAAGCGGGTGAACCCAGACTACCGAGAAAAGCATTTAATAAAGGGAACACTGCTGCGTTGCTCGGTCACACCCGTTTATTACAGTCACGACAGATATATTAGAACAGTTTGCTTACCTTGTTTCAGTTGTCCTGCCAATTGTGCAGTTTGCAGATCTCTGTCCTCATCGCAACGCAGTCGATTTGTTCAGACTCCACAAAACTTACCCACACTTTGGCACAGTAAAAGGGCAGAGGAACTCAATAGCATGGTAATTTCCAATACAGCGCTAACTTATCTTCATTATAAATATTTATATTACTGTAAAAGCTAGAAGTTAAAAAAAAAGCATAGAAGCAGCGATTTTACAGCCCACAGTACCAGTATTATGTTATCTGGGTTGGAATTATTGTTTTTTTAATTGCCACGTTGATGAGCCAATACATGAATTTAAGAAAAAAAAACACAAATATTTAACATAAATATTCCAGTTCATCCGGAGACAACCATCAGTGGTGGTGATCCATGCTTTCCAACGTCTGCCTAGAGCAGACGACGCACCCACAGATGCGATTATATAAATATAGGCCGCACGCTTGCAACACGATTCGATATTCACTAAAGCACCGAACAGTACCGCATCCTTTTCCGCTAGAATTGTTTCCCACCGATAGTATGCGACAAAATAAACGCAAGAGTATACGCCGTCTCTCGCGCGAACGTGGAGAGCCTATGGGGCGGCCGTTCTCCTATCCCCGCTTTGATGATGATGATAGCGCGACCGTAGTGCCACCTCTAGGTCGATCTCGAGGCCAATAATGATATGACTTCAGTATTAAGAATCAGCCGGTGTGAGCATATGATTTTTTGTTATCTATTTTATTTGAAATTCCATTTCCTCTAACAGTAGCTTTTGAGCTCTTAAATTGCGTAAAGTGCTAAAAGCTCTTTCACACTGCGGCTCTCGGGTGTTTCGAAACAATTCTTTTCCAGCGTGAGGCGTACCACCTCACGCTGGAAACAATTTGAGTGAATAACCCCCGAATTCAGGAAGGTTCCTTTCCTTAGATCAGCGCCTTTCCTTTCGTAAGTGGCCACATTTGCGAATCATGAATAAACCTTACCTTAGATTGGCTCCTTTACTCAAAGGTTTCCTGAGACGTTTCCTTACCAACGAAGGAAGCAACGTAGCTACCTTCGATGCTTCCTTTCCTTTTCTACTTGCAACATGGCGACGTTTCGGGAGCTCGATGATTACGATGATTTCGAAAGTGTTGTTGACTATTGGTGTAGGGCAGCCGAATCATGCAACGGAGAAATCTACCCGGTCCCACCTATCGTGCGTCCTCCGCTCAGGGATCGGCGAAACCCTATGGAGGTTTACAGTGATCGGGAATTCTCGGCACGCTATCGCTTCTCCAAAACGACGGTGCGAGAACTGTTGTGCCTTTTGTGCATTCGTCCGAGCACCGACGATCGCGGGAAGCCTCTCTCGCCTATGCTCCAGCTGTTGGTGGCACTGCGTTTTTATGGGGCAGGTGCATTTCAGACGGTCATCGGCGATCTGATTAACGTCTCCCAGCCCACTGTGTGTCGCGTCGTCGGCAACATCACCGACCTGATCATACAGGAACTCTTCCCAAAAGTGGTACAGTTTCCCGATGCTACCGGGCGCCGCAGCGTAACGCACGCTTTTTACAAGATCGGAAAGTTTCCGGGAGTGAGCGGCTGCATTGACTGCACACACGTGAGGATAAAGAGCCCCGGCGGCGACGACGCTGAAGTATTCCGTAACCGGAAAGGGTACTTCTCTATCAACGTGCTGGTAAGAGCGACTCGAGAAGTTTTGCGATGTGCGCTAATTTCCCTTCATAGATCTATATATATATATATATTTTTTTTTAATTTTTATGTGCTCGCAAGAAACGTATATATGTCCCGCGTCATTAATCATACTTTTCAAAGATGCTGCTATGAAAGGAGTGTTGACGCAGGGAAGCACTCACTTGATTTTTTTAGCGAACTAAACACACCCAGGCTTAACTGTTAACTAACTTCCACTGAGTAGTTTATTTTGCATATCCATATCTATTTAATGCATCAATATTTTAGACTTTTTAAACAAGCCATAATTTAGGTAAGAAGAGAGTTCCAAACTTCGGTGTCAAGATGTGACTCATTTCAAGAAAAAACTGAACTCCACATTTATTCCCAATGTGTATATGCATCTACAGGCCATCACAGGACCCGAGCTCCAGTTCTTCGACGTCGTCGCAAGCTGGCCTGGCTCCGTCCATGACAGTAGGATTTTTGATAACTGTCGAGCCAAGGTCCTCTACGAGGAAGCAGTGATGACCGGGGTGCTCCTTGGGGATATGGGCTATGCCTGCACACCGTATTTGATGACCCCCTTTGCAGATCCAGGCAAGGCAGGCAGCCCTCATGACAGGTAAGCTGTTCGCACTATACCCCAGCAGTAAAATAGGTGTCAGGATTGCACAGCTTATTTATGCGTAAACAGTTTTAGTGCTTATAAGCTGGCATTGTCATACAAAGCTGATGACGGAGGTGACGATGCACTTGTGAGTATGCAGATCGGGAGTCCAATGTCGTGATTCCTACACGCTCACATCAATCATGCATAAGCAGGCTATACTTTGTTTCATTCCACTCTCGTCTCCAGCTAAAAGCTACTGCAAGCTTCTAAAAATAGAATGTGATGGGAATTAACCGCACAGGAAATGAAGACAACTGGAAGGAACACAAGAGTTGTCAGTACAGCACTTGTCCTGTTGTGTGTGTGTGTGTTCCTTCCGTTGTCTTCGTTTTTCAAGCTGTTAATTCCTATCGTGGTAAATGCTTACATGGTAAATTCTTATACACAATCTGAACTTTTATTTCGACGAGCTAACACAAGTGCTGAACCATAAGCAGCATTCCAGAAGTTAAAATCTGCGACTATGCACTGACAAGCAAGAGTAATAAGGCAAGGAAGGCATAACGGGACAAAAAAGGAACACATGCTACAGGAGTCACAAACATTGCATCTTTAAGCTCAATTTGGAATTTGCACTTTTATGTATGGCCAAGTTTCGTCTGTTTTATCACAACACAAAAGGAACCTGAGAATACAAGACTATTTTCACCAAGTTGGGGAACTTGCCTATACACAAAACGAAATTTTCTATGCAGGTACAACAAGGCCCATATCAAAACTCGAAACAGCATCGAGAGGGCATTCGGGGTTTGGAAGCGGCGCTTTCCATGCCTCGACATGAGGCTTCAGCACAAGCCCGAGCGATCTGCAGGCATCATCACGGCCTGCGCGGCTCTCCACAACCTGGGACGGCAACTGTTGGACCCTTATCCGCCAGCCGTGCCCCTGCCCCCACTGCCAAACCCCCGGCGCAGAAGGCCCTTGCCACCGTTGCCGCGGCTTCCAGCCGACACAGGAACGAACGTGAGAAACACAATTATTGCTAGGCACTTTACTTAAGTTCTTGCACCCTCTTTCGGTGTCCTCCAAGGATCAAACCTACGGCCACTTCTTTTTCTTGTATTTATCAATGATCGAAACTTGTGCGTAAACAATGTGGATGCTTTTATATGCGGATGACATCAAACTTTTTACGAAAATTCAATCACAAGATGACTGTGTTTTTTTACAGGATGAAATATTACGCATTTCTGAACGGTGTTCTGAAAATTTTTTACTTGCTGACCCAGTTAAAACCAATGTACTCACTGTGTGTAGAAAACGCAAAAACATTTCTGACTCGTACATACTTGGCAATTGTACTATTCGATCGGTTGAACAAGTATGTGACCTCGGCGTTTATTTTCATAGCAATCTTTCCTTTTCAAGTCGTGTTAGTCAGAATGTTGCTTCAGCTTTTCGAGCGATGGGAATATCACGTGTGACGCGTAACTTTTCAAATTCTTTATGTGTCGTCCGCTTGTTTTGCTCCTTGTTGCTAGTTAGACCCGAGTTTTGTAGTGCTGTACGGAATTCGCTGACTGCAGTTGAAGCAGAGCGAATTGAAAGGGTTGAAAAACAATTTGTTCCAATTGTTGATAGGTATTTTGGAAGATGTTATTACGACTATGAGTACATTCTTAGAGAACTTTCTTTGCACAATTTATTAAAAAGACTGACTCCTTGTGATGTTTTATTTTTACATAAATTTGTTCACGGCCATACAGATAGTGAATTGGTGATATTGCTGGTATATCATGTTCCAGCTCGTGCTATTAGAGGAACGAGTGTATTTTATCCCTCTGCGCAATTGCAATTGTCGCGATTGGTGCAGATGCAAATTTGTGGTAATGAATTGTCGCCTCATGTTGATGTTTTTTAAGATTTTTTAGTTTTTAAACGAGAGCTTGATTTATACCTTTTCGGCTATGGACCCACACCATATTTTGTAACAGTGGCAGACATCTTTATGGATTTTTCTTTTGTATTATATTTTATGTGCCACATTATAACCTATTGGTTCTTCTGGGGCACAAATCAAATAAAGCATTATTATTATTATTAACTTGGCCAGTGTGTTTGCAGTCATGTGCCTCAAAGCTGCCATCAGGCAACACAAGCAATCAGGGAAAGAAAGCACCTTCAAAACTTCTTATCTCATGACGAAGGCTTTCATCCTGGTTGAAGTAACTGGTAAACAGAGCATAGATAACACTCTTTTCCAATGACCCATGCCATGGCATAAATTGTTAATTATGTAACACTCGTAGATGCTTTTGTGGGATCTCATTTTTTGAAGAAATATGGAACGAATAAAAGATCTCAAAACAAAGGGCCTTTAACTGTTTATTTTTTTAGCCAGGCAATGTTGCACACAACGCTCCTATTTGTGGCCTCTATCTGTTTAATTTCTTTGCCTCAGCAATTCTGAGCAGGACGAGCCTATTTTCGTTTCTAATTTTCTTCATTTTAAGCTTATGCTCACTCCGCCTCATTTCGTGCTCGGCTTTTAGGATCTTAAGGCGGAGGTCGTGTTCTTCGTCCTTCCTTTCTTGGTCCCGCGTGAGATGACCAAGCCGAACATCTTGTTCAGCACCTAGCGTGCGCTCCAGCACTCCAAAGCGCCCTCCAACGCGAGTAGGCGCCTCCCGGTGGGGACTTCCCTGGTGATCACTTGCTGCTGCAGATGGTCCAGCTGCAGCTGTGAGCTGCACCGTAGCTGTGAGGGGCACTCGAGCCATGGGGGCTGCTCCACCACTAGGCACCACAGAAACTTGGCTCTCTGGCTCACCCATAGCAGAATCTGCACACAGTATGAGAAACAAAGAATACATTCACATCACATTATGATCTCTAATATGTGAAGTCTGCTGACAAAATAGGAACTATAGGAATTTAAAAAGTTGAAGGCTCTATTCCCTATAGGTACGCTGGACATCCTTTTTCAACACTAATTTGGCTTACAGGACTAATGGAGGTTACATACTGAAGTGCAAGATACCCTTTTTCCTGTGTTAACACGAAACCCATTACAGTCGAACCCCGCTTCAACGAACGCCGCTTCAACGAAATTTCCGGTTCAACGAATATTTTTTGATTCCCCGTCAACGGCCCATAGCAGTCAATGCATAAGAATTCTCACTACGGCGAACAAAATCTTGTGCTGTTCCGCTTGAACAAAATTTTACAGAGCAATTCGAAGTTTGAATGGTTAATTTTCCATACGAAAAACAAACTTTCGAGCACTGGTGCATTTTGGCACATAAAATATGTCTACTATAAAGTTTAAATCGCATGTTGAACCACCAGAAACTGCCACTATAACCGATACCCGAGCGCAACGTTGACCGGGCGTGCAGGCCGCCATTACTTCATAAAGACGGCGATGAGGCTGGCCTTCCTACACTGTTGCACCAATGTTTCTCTAGCTCTTGGCTTGATAACGCCCTGCTGCAGACTATTTAAAGCCAAAGCTCAGTCTTTTTTTTTTTTTTTCTTCTTCCTTTGTCGGTTGTCATTTTATCAGTACGGTACGACGACAACAACAGTACAGGGGCTTTTTGCGCATGGCATGATGGCACTGCCAAGCAAAACGCAAAAGTTTTTATCCTTACAAGATAAAGCTCGCATCCTGGCTGAAGTTGCAAGTGGACAGAAGAAAGCTGTCATCGCCGAAAAGTTCAGAAAATCTCAGAGTTCGTTGTCGACGATCCTAAAGTCGAAAGATGCAGTCAGTCAAAAAGGCTCTTGCATCGGGGACATCGGCCAAACGAAAGAAACTGACACCGCCGGCGCACGAAGAGCTCGACAAGGCTGTGTACACATGGTTTGTGAAACCGAGGGCAAAGAAGATACCCATCAGCGGAAGCGTCGTGCAGCAGAAGGCCTTAAATTTCGCTTGCCTGGTGGGAATCGACAACTTCAAAGCTAGCACCAGCTGGCTCAACAGGTTCAAGGCCCGCCATGACATTGTCGGCAAGACGCTTAGTGCGAGTCGGCATCGGCAGACACAGGCAATGCTTCTGCTTGGATGTCAACAAACGTTTCTGCCTTGTTGAATGACTGCGAGATGTCTGACATTTACAACGCCGACGAGACAGGACTTTTCTATGAGATGGTGCCGTCCAAGACTCTGGAAATTAAAGGTCAGCGCTGCCATGGTGGAAAACACAGTAAAAAGTGCGTGACCATACTGCTGTGCACCAACATGGACGGATCCGACAAGCGTCCACAGCTGGTTATTGGCAAGAGTGCAAGGACCCGTTGTTTGAAAGGGAACAGGAGTCTTCCCGTCAAGTATGTGGCCAACAGCCGGTCTTGGATGACGCGGGCAATTTTTTCGGAATGGGTCGAAAGGTTCGACTGCGACATGAGGAGGCAGGGCCGGCGGGTTTGCTTGTTGCTGGACAATTGCTCCGCTCACTGAATTCCGGATGCTAAGCTCACAAATGTGGAGCTTAAGTACTTTCTAACTAACTGCACTTCAGTAATCCAGCCCCTTGACCAAGGTGTCATTAGAAGCCTCAGGTGTGCCTACCGCCAGCGAGTGATGCAGCGTCTCCTACTAAACGTGCACGCAGGTCGAGACACCAAGTTGGATCTCTACATCGCGCTGCAGATGATGGCTGCTGCATGGACTGCAACCAAACGTTCAGTCATCGCCAACTGTTTCACACATGCGGGCTTCAAGCTCGAATACCCAGACGCCGACTCTGCTGAGGATAAGGAAACAGTGCGTCCGCCGAGACAGGCAGTTACTTCTTGGTCTGCGCTTCAGAATGCCGGAACTGCGCCATCCGGTGTCGCCCTGGAAGATTTCATCAACGCTGACATGGATGTTGTCGCTCATGAAGACGTGAGTGACGAGGACATTATACAAAGTGTCCGCGGCGAGGCGCAGTCAGATGAAGACGACGTGCCGGACTTGCAGCCTCCGCCATCCATGGCACGTGTACTGGATGTGTTCGACGTTCTCGGAAACTACGTGGCTGCGCATGATGGCAACCTTGCCATGAACCTACTCGCCGAATGCGAAAACCGCGTCACGGAGCTCCTAACAAGGAAAAGGAAGCAGGCATCATCATGGTCGGATTGTTGACATTTCATCCAAGGTACCTGCTCATCAAGCACATCGTTAGCCCTACAATGCGACAGTGTGGGCCTTGATATTGACATTTTTACCCCATTACGGCGTGTTCAGTTGCAAGCTGTCAGAAAACTACTTTTGTAGGATTATTCATATTTACTCAATGGGCTTTCCATGCATTCTTCCATTTCACACAGGTGAAAGGTCTGCTTTCTGCAGCTTGTATGCCGATATGTAAACATTTCGCACAGTAGTCACCAGAAGATTTTGTACCAGCAAAACTGGTAGACAGTAGGGGAAAGCTTGGCAGATGTCGATCAGTGGACAAAGTGCTTTTTCACAGCAGTTGCGATTGAAAATTCCCTGTGGTGGGACAGGTCACGCGAGCTATTTCGTTCGGAAAACAACCTCAGAAGTTGCACTAACATTTATACAAATATGGCTGGCAGTAATATTGGCAGAGAAACATGCAACGGTGTTGTAAGGGATGAATATCTGGTACCAGTTGTGCTGATTTTGTTTTAAGTAAGACGACTTTTTAGGAATAGAAACATTTCACTACTTGTTATTCTACTTTACATTCCTTCCATATTCCAAAAGCCAAAATTGCAAGTTATCTTGGTCATAAATGCATAAGTTGGTACAATATCACTTGCAAAGTAGTTATCGAGCCTCAGTCAGCTTTACTTTTGCGCAAACCACCGGCGAAAGCATTGTATCGAAAACAGTGGAATAAATGCGGAGCAATGCGACCAAGCAAATAGGCCTTACTTTGCGTCTGATTTGTTTCTTCCCTCTTTTGCTCAATCTCTTTCGCGTTATGCTTCTCCGAAGTATCTACTGGACTGAGGGACGTGTGCCTCTCAGTCCAGTAAAATCAATTACAAACACCTTGTAGAACATAGCAGCTGAGGGTTACCGTCCTTCAGGAGGCCGACCCCCAGAGAACTCTGGAAGGTTTCCTTCCCTTACCTGAGAAGCCTTCCAAGGAGAGCTCCTCATCAGCCCGTTGCACTACCATCGGCTCCAGGATGTCGGCCACGCTAAAGAGTGCTTGGCCGGCATGCCTGCCGTCGCTGTCGCCGCCGTTGACCAGCCGCCTGGCCATGTGTGGGGCTGCAGCCCCCACAAATACGGAAAGCTGGCTCAAGCCAACTCCTGGTGGTCCTCCTCCTAAAGAGATGTAATACCATACACGCCACTTTGTAGGCAGGTTCCACAGACTTCGGGAAAACGGCAAATATTACAGTGAAGAGTAAAAGCGCAACGTACAGTCACACAAATTTAACTTGGGAAAGGGATGCCCACCACAGACAACACCTGGCCCTAGTTTTGTGTGCTGCACAATACACCGTTATCATAACAATAGGTCTGTTCGATTCGCCTGAACTGGCTGAAGTAGTTCGCGCAGTGCAGGAACTGGCGCATTCGATTTAACCGGAGGTTGCACGGCCCCTGCATGGCCGCGTTTGATTCATCTCAGTGCGGCACGAGTTATCCTCGGCATGCCTTGCTGCATACCCGACCCGGAGGAATAACACGGAGCCAACGGTTCGAACATCAAGAAACTACATTCAATTGGACATGGACGAGACAATGAAAAATACTACCAGAAAACCAACAAGCACTGGCGGCGCTTGAGTTTCGCCAGCGACTGTCTGCGCGCCGCCTCTGATCCGCCTTATCTAGGCGGCGCGTGCAATGCGTGCATGGCCGGCTTGACTCCGCCACCACGAGGGAAAGTTCACCACCTGTGCCCTGTAGTCGGGCAACTGGCTGGGGAGCTGCTGCTCCCCCCCCCCCCCCCCCCTCAAACTTCACTGGCATGTCGATGACAGTGTCGTCGTTGTGGGCGTCGGGGTGGATGGCGCTGCTGGGCAGACTGGCGTAGAAGGTCCAGTCGGCGCCGCTAGACGAGCGCGATGGCGCGTTCGAGGTCACGCTCGCCGAATTTGTTCAACGTTTCCCTGACAGACGGGCAATCCTCAAGAAAGGTCCAGGTACAGGAGTCCATTGTGCTGCATTGCTGTTAGGGTCCGCGGGGCCGTCCTCTACAGAGTCTGCAGCCTCACGGCTCCTCCAGCTGTCATCGCTGTACCAGAAGCTACCTCCAAATGGGTTTCGTATTCCCGGAGGCTTATCTTGTTTGCTTCGCAGATTTAAAAAACGAAATCCCCTATAAACGAGATAGCGGCCCCCAAATCCAGAAGTGCGACAACGGGAACATCAAGCAGTGAAATCGTCATGCGCAGTTCAATGATGTTAGGCTCGGGCTGGATTCAACATACTGATGGAATCTGTGCTGCGGCCTCGCTGCCCCCAGGGACTGTAACGGCAGTCGGCGAGTGGCTGTCTGGTTTCAGCGTCGCTGGCCGTGGTAGTTTCCCTGGTTGTTCTGGTTCCGGGTCTTTGCTGCCGTCTCGTGCCACCTCTTGTTTGTAGTGTCCAGAAGTCTTGGACAATGGTTTTGGTGATGTCCGGGCTGCTTGCACTCATAGCAGCAGTCCGACGACGACAGTTGCCTGCTTAGGCCACTCGCACTGAGGTGCCCGTCCGACCGCCTTCAGTGATCGAGTAAAGGACCACAATGGGAGGGCCTCCACTAGGCTTGCGAACGGCTGTCAAGGGGAGGGTTTGTTCTGTTGTGGCTGGGGTCAATGCTGCATGGCTGCGGGATTTCGACCGCAGCGTGCCAGTTTTTCCCAGCACTTGCAGGAGCAGACTGATGGAGATGGTTCGCTTGGGTGGTGATCTCCGTTGGGCCCCAGCTTCGATAGGGCGCGGCCAACGACATCCCACCTGTCGTGGCAAACCCCGCTCGGGACTTTCATGGGCCCCGCTGTAACCTCAGGGGACCCCTCGATGAAGGCAAACATCCGCTTACCCCGCACGGTAGAACGCCATGCATGCCACACCAACCCTCCTGGTTGACGTGGTGGGGAAGGGAGGTCTCGTTCGGACAGTCCACTTGCGTAGATGCCTCGGGGCCCCGCCATGCCGGTTCGAGCGCGTACATGGCTGGTGGCGGGGGCACAGTTCCGCTCGGCACGAATAGCTTCCTCGATGAGGCAAGCAACCCAGGCTAGCTTTTCAAAAGTCTTAAAGGTGCGGCTGATGAGGTAGACGTGGTATCTTGGGTGGTACTGTTTTCTGACCTGAGCTACTCTGTCCGACTCTGGTGAATTCAGGTCTGCCCTTTTGAAGAGGGTGCTACGTCCTTGCCTTCAGCTCTCGGAAAATCTGCGTTTCGTAGCCTGCACGCATGGAACTCTTCTTAAAACCTTGTCTGGAAGTCCGCCAGGCTGGCTTTGCATCGCCGCCGCACGACTCCTTCACTGCTACTACACTTTTCTGAACTCGCACTGAACTAGTTCGGAACTTTCTGGTGGAATCAAACAGACCTAATGTTAACTTGATACTGTTATTCCTCATATACTCCCAACTGAAAAATCCTATTGGTACCGGCTGGGTCTGTGGAGAAAATAATCGGGAACCAATTGGAACCAGTAACAATCAGAACTCAAGTTAATGCTTAGTTTTTGTTAAAGTTGATTTTTTTTTTTTTCATTAGAAGAATGTTGCCAGCTGGAACCAACTAAACCACATTGGTTCCAGTTAATACCGTTTAGAATTCCAAGTGGGTTTAAAGGGAAGTTTTTACTGAGTACACACTTTTTACACACGCACAGACGACGGCGCCACTGCAATGCGGGATCGGCGCCTCTCCGATTTCACTAGTACAACCTATGGTTCTCGAAAGCAAAGGTTTTCGCGTGACACTAGATACCTGAATCGGACACTACCGATATGCAGCTGCCAGCACGTTAAATAAACCCTGAAACGAATAGAACACGAGGCGAAGTTAAAACAGAAAGCTCTAAACACAATTTCCTCTCGATACAGGGTTTATGACGTCAAGCTTACACCGCCTCACACGGACTCCTCATTCAACGTAGTTATGAAAAGCAAACTCACCTGTTGCAATGCGGTCTCTGTTGTCGGACGATACTTCCTTTTTCCATTTTGTTTTTAAGTTGTCCCAGCACTTCTTGAGCTGTTTTGAATCGCGTGCTCGGACCCCGTGGTTGCTATTATATTCGATCGTGAGGAGCTCCCACGCCTTCGCCCTTGCCTCTGTCGATGACTTGTTCGTACATCGGTTCTCGATGACTGAGTATTTCGGCACCAGCTCCGCGAGAAGAAACTTCTCATTTTCAGAGAAAAAAACTTTCTTCGGCTCCGCCATGGCGCTCAACGTAAATTAAAAAATCAGAGCACAAACGAGACTGGAAAAAAGGAAAGCAAAACAGCAGGAAAAGCAACGATAAAAAGAGAACGACCCGAACGACCAGCAAGAATACAGAACGCGACGCCGAGCTGCGCTGTGCGTTGCCAGACGAGACTACGATATTGTCGAAATCCGCTAAACATTCAAGTCTTTAAATTATTAGAATCGTATTTTAACGTATATCGAACCCCAGAACACATTACACTACAAATTATTTGATATTGTAGTTTTTCTCAGCACGAATTTTAGAGTACTAACAATAAAATGTACTGCAGTCTCGACCCCAGACGTGCTCATAGTATCCTTGGACGACGAAGGAGCCTTTGGTCTGCTCCTTACGTAAGGAAAGGGCGAGACGCGGTTCTGACACGAAACGGCCCCTTTCCTTTCCTTTTCCCATTTCCTTTCCTTACGTAAGGTAAGGAAAGGCGGAAAGTGAAGTGGCGTTCTTGAATTCGGGCGTTAGGCTTTTGCGGTTTTCCGATTTATCGTGGTTGCCTGGATAATCTCCACTCGGGATTTACCTCCGAATGATTTGATGTTCTGCAGTCATAGAAATCATACGAGTACGTCACGAAGTATTTTTTTCCGTGAAAAGCCCAAGAGATTGAAAAAATATGTTGCTAACATTGTTGTGAATATTAGTTGTGTGTAACAGCTATAAAACAAGAGTTAAAGACCGACTTAGAACCTCGGTCTTTTGCAGGGAAGATAATCGTTTTAGTGCCCTGCTCTCCTACGCTGCGAAGACAGCCGTCTTACAGGGTTAGGGAAAATTGAAAGGTGGAGAGGAGAAGTGGAAAGCGCAAAGTGTACGTCGGCCTCTTAAAAAAAGGAAAGTATAGAACTTAAAGGAACTTAAAGAACTTAGAGGAAAAATAAAACCTTAGAACTTAAAGGAAACGTAACTCTACATTTATTTTGCCCAAGTTGGATATGTATTGTGCTTCATCCTCACGTGCCTCGGATCTTGCTCAATAAAATGTTATCTCGAATTCACCACTCACTATAAATTACACGAAAACACATTGCACTTTCATCTTCCACAATGCAGCTAACACTTATGTAATTCCCGTTTTTACAATCTTTGCTCTGGAACCTCACAATAAGAAAGAGATTGGCTTTTTGCTATCACGGAATTACTGCTACATTCATTGTATCTTTATGGCTACAATGTGCAGCCCCAGCGCAACCCGTGGAATCGGTCGCTGAGATCAACGAACTTGAGTACATTACGAAGAGCGATATAATTTACTTATTTTTTTCAGATGCAGTCGTCACTGAATTAACTCTCCTGCGTTACGCCGCGGCGACGGCGCTTCGGGCGCTTTTGCGATCTGGAGAGTTGGCAGAATGCGCTATCCGATTACGGGCATTGCTACGTTGCGTTGGTAGAAAAATGCCCCGTCGTTAAAACGCCCCGACTGGCGCTGCACTACTATTGAGCTGGGAAAGGCGTCAAGATCAGTGTTAACGTGTTTCCTGACTACGCGATCCGTTCGAGAACTTGAATAAATGCCTGCCGCAGAGAGGGAAAACTAGACGCCGTCGGACCACGATCGCTTGTTCGGGAATTCCACTTTGGGTTAAAATTCGGGAATACTAGTCGTGACATTTATTTTTATTGTCCCAACTCGGAACCAGAAAAACCCTGGAGTATCCTGGGGCATCCGGACCGCGTTCACACGTTAAAATGGACGTTTTCACGTTAGCGCCACTATACGCCCGTTCAAACGAAGACAGTCTGTAGACCACGTTTACAAAATTGTCAAGGGGGTTAAAACTAAAGTTGGAACAAAAGGCGAATACAATCACCTCACTGGATCCCAACCCCTTTAACAACACCCA